GGAGGTAGTCGGGCCCCAAACAATGATGGGCATTGTACAAATCAAATCTCTCACCCATTGGAATCGGGGCAACTCTCCCGAACTCAGTTTGGAAGGTGAAATGTGGTGGTTGGGGTGGCCTCCATTTGTAATATGGGCAAGGTCCTGTAATGGCCTCATCGTGTACTCATGCAGTTCTGGTCTGGTCTCCCAGACGGAAATGGTAATGGACTCACCCAACACCATCATGGTTAACTTCCCCCTTTTTACATTAATAGTCGTGTCCGTGGTTGCCATGAATGGTCGCCCAAGGAGGATGGTGTGCTCTTTCTCATTCGCTCGAATGTCCCCCACATCGAGGACAACAAAGTCTACGGGAACGATCAACTTCCCCACTCGAACGAGCACATCCTCCACAATGCCCTCGGGCTGACGGAGTGAGCGATCGGCAAGCTGCAAGCGCATCCGAGTAGGCTTCAAACCCTTAAGCTTAAGCTGCCGATAAATAGATAGTGGCATGAGATTTATGCCCGCTCTAAGATCGAACATTCCCAAAGCCTCTTTTTCATTCCCAAAGGCAATGTTGATCACGAAGCCTCCGGGATCTATTTCTTTCTTCGGCAAGAGATGATGCAAAACACTTGCTGCCTCACAGATTATGACATCCCCGTCACTATCGAACCTCTTCTTGTTGGTGGCAACTTCCTTTAGGAATCGTGCATGGACCGGTAGTTTCTTCAACACATCGGGAAGAGATAGGTCGACATTGGCCTTAGCCAACATCGCATGTAGGTCCCGAATCATCGTGCGGTCCTTTTTCTCTAACAGTGGGCTTGGAATGGGGAGTCTCAGTATGTACGAGTTTGGGGATTTGTGCAATGTAGGCTCAGGTGGCGATGTCACTGGGATTTTTTCTTGCTTCCTCGGGCCCTCTTTTTCTTTTTTCCAAGTCTGGCATAATCACGGTTATGACATTCACGTGCTCCGGCTGACTTGGTAATTTTACCTTGTCTCTCTCGGCCTCGAGGATCCCGACCCGTGTGGCTAACTGGCC